TATGGTGTAATGCTAGGACTACGGGTGATTGGATTAAGGGTGGGTGATTACTAAATCAGTCTACAGATTGCTTTGGCTCCCCCCAATCCTGATACCCTGGATACAATATAAGGAACAGAAAGACGTTTGTCTTCTCCTTTGCTTGTTTTGCTACCTTCTGCCCACCATAAACTGTTATTCCTCTGCAATGTCTGTCTGCCAAGGCACACTGCCTTGGAGCCAGCCCATTATGGACTGAAACCTCTACACACTGTGAGCTAAATAACCCTTTCCTCCTTTAACTTTGGGTGTTGGGTATTTTGTATCAGCACCGAGAGAGAAGTAACTAACGCGGGTGCTTGCAAACTGGCTTTGACTCTTGTGTGACAATCTGGTTTACTCATCCTTACTCCTAACATGTACCTTTTTAGGATCCCAACCTGAAGAATGAGGGCTGGTTTACTAAGGCCATTCCTCCTTGATGTATCAGAGTTTAAAATTTCTCCTCCAGCTTTATAAGGCTGCTTCCAAAAATGCTACTTTTTCTCTTTCAACTCTGTTTTTTGGACAACGGGATATTCTCTGTGGAGGGTGACCAGGAATACTGTCTCTGCATATTCGGCTCCCTTCCTCACCTAGGTTTTAGCCATATAAATTATTCATACTATGATTCAGTAACCCTCTGATAACTTAAAAAGGATTTAAAAAACATTATGCTTATGTTTTCTTGGTGTCCTCCGTGGAAAGATCAATACAAGTCATCTAATCTGTCTTTGCTGAAAGTTTACATAATCTTAATGGTGCTTTCCTTCACATGGATATTGTGTTTATAAAAATACACAAGTTATCACACTTTAATTTTGTGATGTAAGCTTCATGGCATACTTGGAGAAGCTATTTCCATGCCAGATTATAAATATTCATCCCTGTTCTTCTCTGATTTGTTATGGCTTCATTAAAAATATGCTTTAATTTCATGTGGAATTCACTTTGAGATAAGGAATGAGGTAGGTGCTTAGCTTTAAAAAATACCCCTATGTTTTCCCTACCAATTAGAAATACCTCCTCTACTAACCAGTTAATTTCTTAATATATTGGTACCTTTTTCTAAACTTTTCTTTTGAAAGAATCCACCTATCTATGTCACCATCTATTCCACACAATTTAATTATGGTAGTTTAATAATGTTTTAAAAAATGTTTAGAACTTCTCCTGTCTTCTCAGTACTTAAATTTTTAGGTAAATGTCACTTATTTTTCTTTCAGTTCTATAGCAAATGATTTAATTAAGATATAAAGGAGTTATTGTTATGGTTGATACATTGTGTCAACTTGGGGAGTCTAGAGGTTTGGCTAAGTGACTCAGCAGGGAGCCAGGGTGCTTACTTTGTATTCATCCTGAGCCTGTGCAAGAGGAGGGCATGGAGATTATGTGAGAGCTACACACCCCCTGAGTGGGGGTAGCCTGCTTACTAGGTAAGGGAGGGAAAGAGGGTGCCTGCCGCCATTCCACCCTTTGCTCTTCTTGCTTTGCTACCTTCGGCCTCGGAGCCAGCCAAGTATGCAATGAAACCTCCACAAACTGTAAGCTAAATAAACCTTTCCCTCCTTCATTTTGGGCATTGGGTACTTTGTCTCAGCAATGAGAGAAAAGTAACTGAGACAGTTATTTTGTATAGTAATATAATGAATATTTTTGAAATCACCATTTACTCTCTGCCCAAATAAGGCACTTCTATAGCTAAAATTTTATGTTTACCATTCTCTTCTGGACAGTCTTTAAAACTAGTACAATACATACATGTACATACATTTTTTTTTCTTTTTTGGGGGCAGCAGCAATTGAACCCAGGACCTTCAAATGACGGGTAAGTGCTTGGCCACTGAGCTACATTCCCAGCCTTACATTTAGCTTTGAACTCTTATTTTAGACCTTTAAAAATATGGCATCATGCTATATGTAGTCTCTTGAGATTGACTCATTTTTACTCAATATTGCTTCTAAAACAAATCCACTTAACTTTATTTCCCCCAGCTATCCATTTTTGAGTGAATATGCCAAAATCTACCCTTTTTTTTTTTTTTTCCCTGAAGGGCCTTTCTAATATTTCTCTAATAAGAATGAGCATATACAACTCTTGCAAATTTCTTCAACTGCATTTATACATGAGATTTTCTAGGTTATCCATCCAGGCATGGAATTACTGGGTCACAGAGTAAGCAAATTCTTAACTTTACAGTATAACGGCAAATTTTGCTAATACGGGTCTACAGAATTCCCACAAGCAGTGTAGAAGAGTTCTTTTTGATCAACATCCTCCCCAACAACTGCCACTGTGCATTATATATTATATATTATGGAACTAGTACTCCCCAGATTACATTTGTCTTTTGCTAGCTTGCTTCCTTTTAATGTCTTTTAATGGAGGGACACTTGGAGTGTGGAAAGGGCTTTCTTTCCTATTGTGTTTCTATCTATGTTCTTCTAAGCATGGCATTTCATGCTGGTAGCAGCAGATGGTGACAGCTGTAGTTGTTTCACTTCCAGCTTCTTTTTTTTCCGGTACCGGGAATCGAACTCAAGACGGTGTGCTTGTCAGGCAGGCACTATGCCGCTGAGCTAAATCCCCAGCCCCCATTTCCAGCTTCTTTGCACACTACCAGATCCAGGCTTTACTGTGTTTCCTTAGAGGCACCTGAAGCAGCTGGGCAGAGTCCGCTCCTCAGAGGGCAGCCACAGCTCGGTGGGGTCTTCCACCCATCTTACAGTGTGTGGCCAGCAGTATCCGGGGAACTCGCTCCTTGGAATCCTGCATCTTTCTTCTGGGACTCCTTCTCTATGCTTCCCAACTATGGCAGCAGCAAGGCAAAAGCCTAGCTTCCAGCTCTGTAGGCCTCTTTGCAGTTTAAAAGTTATACAATTGACCTCTTCCCTTTGTTCCCTCAGTCTAAGGGGTAGTTGCTCTCTGCAGCAACTTTGTGCTGCCTCAGTTACTTCTTTTTGCTATATTTAAATCCTCTATATTAGATTCTCTGTTAACAGAACTGTGTTTTCAATTTTTTTGGTTAATGAAGAGTTCGACTGCTTTATTTTTGTTAATCTACTGAGCATGAAAGCGTATCTTATTAAGCTCATTTTTTTTCTGGTTATATTAAGGAAATTGAATACTTTTGCATTGGCTATTTTAATGTAGTGGTCAATTTATCCATCCTCGTATTAATACTAAACTATATTGTAATTACTATGACTTCACACAAAGTTTTTATATTTGGTAGGAAGTGTTCTCTTTTCTGAAATATGCTGGGCTATTGTTTGATCTTTGGCTTCCATCTACAAATTCATTTCAAATTCTATGCAAAGTATAATTTGATTTGCATTAACTCTGTAGGTCATTTGATAGAACTGACACTTACATTGTTTTATTGCTCCATGGATGTGATATGACTTTATTTGGTTTTTATTCCATGTCTTTGTATAATGTTTTGTAATTTTTTCCTCATAAAAGTAATACACTTATTTAAGACTAATTCTCAGATACTGTATGATAGTTATAATTATATTTAAAAATTGTTACTTATTAATGACCTCTGTAGTACTTGCTCCACCCCATTACATTTCCTGGTTATTTTTATTATTTCAGATGAATTTAGCTTTATTCTCTATCAACTAACAGAGTCAGGGAGGTTTTGATTGAAAGTGAACTAAATATATATTTATATGTATGGAAGTGATATTTTTATAATGCTCATCAAAGCAATACGTGAAAATTCATGTGCCAGTAGAGACTACTAGATACAGGAGATGAGATAGTCCAAAAGCACATTAGCAAATGCAGATGTTTGGAAGGTATATCCAAGGACCAGTTCCATGATTTTGAATTTCTTACCCTTCTCAAGACTATAAAACATAGATTTTTTTTTTTTTTTTTTTAGTGGCGTGGTAGTGGTGGACTGAGATTTCCTTTGAAGGAATGAGGGAGTATGCTAAGGAGCATTATTCATGATATCACCCAAAACAGAAGCTAGCCGTATGTCCAACAGTAGTGCAGTGGGTAAATAACTTGAGTTAAAATTCATACAGTGGAATAGTAGCAATGGAGAAACAAACATCCGCTGTTTGTATAACATGGATGACTCTCGTGAAAATACTACTGAATGAAAGAGAGCCAGATATCACAGTACCTAGCATATACAGCTATTCAAATGAAGTCCAAAGGAGGTAGAACTGACTTATAGTGCAAGAAGTCAGAATATGGGTTACTTGGGGCTGGGGATTTAGCTCAGCGGCAAAAAGCGCCTGCCTGGCAAGGTCGTGAGTTCGGTTCCCGGTACCGGAGAAAAACCAAAAAAAAAAAAAAAAAAGAATATGGGTTACTTTTGAAGAGGTAATGAATGACAGCACAGAGAGCCTGCTAGGATTTTTGAATTGTATATCTTGGTCAAAATGGTGTTTATACACATGTGTATCTTTGTATGTATGTTTACAGAAAAATACTGGACAGTTTAGGCTTTTTTATGTATTTGATCCTATAGGAGCTTAGTAAATTCTGGGGAATATTTCTACAGTTTTACGTTTTCAGCAGAAATACAGGAGTGCACAAGATGGGAAGACGGCTGTTATTTTGCCTTACTCAGTAATATTTTATTCTTTTCCCCAAATCTATATTCATATGGGCTTTAGTCATAGGTCTGCATCTTCAGAATTATGAAATATTTCAAAAAGATGAAGGAAATTGATGAACAAGTGTCAGATTTGTTAAGAAGATGGTAGACTGGTACTTTCTGAAATCAGTTTCCTTGATTGATTCACTTAGTAGTTCTTTAAACTTTACTAGTGGTGCTAATAAATATTCAGATATTTTGCTCTATCCATCTATACCAGCTGTTTTACTATTTTTAGCTATTTTAATCTTAAGTTTTTAATTGATTAAATGTCTCTATTTCTCTTTGCATTAACTGTGTGGCCATTTAATTACTATAGACTTGGTATCTGAAAATAACATAAACTTATTTTTCTCACAGATCTGTGGGCTAGAAGTCTTAAATCAGTGTCACTGGACTGAATTCAGGTGTGGGCAAGGTTATCCTGCCTCTGCAAGCTCCAGGGAAGAATTTGGTGTTTCATCCCTTGCTCCTACTGGCTGCTACCATTCCTCACTGGCCCCCTGTTGAAACAGCATGCAGAAACACTGAAATGACACCCAGGATTTGGAGGCAGATTTATTTATGCTGATGGGCACTGGTCAGGATCACTCCCAGAATATCAGGCTCTGATCTCTGGTGGTCTAGGACTTATACGGGATAAGCAGGCAAGAAGTACAGAAGCAGAATCAACTGACAATTGGGGATTGGTCTATACAATGTGCATCACAGTGACCAGAGACAGAAGCAAATGGAACTGGAACAGGAACTATTACCTGGGCAACTAAGAAACTGAAGTACACTGGCTGGTGGGGGGTGGGGGGGATACTTTCTGTTACACTGTAACTGGAATAGCATTGCTTTCTGTTTCTGTCTGAGTCAAATCTTCTTCCACTTCTCCCTTATAAGGATACATGTGATTACACTGAGTCCACCAGAACAATCCAGGATAATCTTTCTATCTCAAGATTTTTCACTGAATGACATCTGAAAGGTGCTGCCTCCAAATAAATTAACATTTATACTCTCTTTTTTTTTTGGTACCCGGAATCAAACTCAGGACCTTGCACTTGCCAGGCAGGTATTTGTGCCACTGAGCTACATCCCCGGCCCAACACTTAAAGTCTCTGATGATTTGGAGCTGACATCTCTGTGTTTCCACTCTGCAGGCTAGTACATTCCTCTACCTGACTGAAAAGTCAATGGAGCACAGATTTTCACACATTTTGCTCATTTCTGTGTCCTCAGCTCTTAGAAGTCGTGAAGAAGAAGGTCTGCTACACAGTAGGCATTCACTGAATATCTGCTGAATCAAGCATTAAGTATTATTAAGTCACTTTGATCATCCTTTAGAATGGGGAGTTTTTGTCTTACTTGAGAAGACACAACTAACATTGGCTGGAATTCATGTTGAGAAACTTTCTTTAGAAAGTGTTTCGACAACCAACCCTTTTCCATCCACAGTCTGAATTGCTTCATGAAGGAACAAACTTCTTGAATGTAGATTCCAGCAAAACTATTTTCAAACTGGATTTCTCGTTCTAAAGAACAACTAATTCTTGAAATGTTTACAAATCTCTAACCTTCTTGTTTATTTAGGAACACTGAAAAACATTTTCCTAGTTTGTGGCCCTGTTTTGGACATTGTTCTGAGAATCCAGAGACTGTGTGTGTGTGTGTGTGTGTGTGTGTGTGTGTGTGCATGTGTGTATGAATGTAGATCAGCTCTATCTTTATTTAGAATGTCAGAGTACTATACTGGAAGCTTTCAAGGCTAACATATTCCTTTGCAAAGTGGAAATTCTGCTTTAAACTTACAAAATGGCTCTACATTTTCAAGTTCTTATTTTAAACCCCAAAACTTGCCATAGATGTATAAAATACGATTAATAACATAATGCAACTGACTTTTTAAACAGTAACTCTGTCCTAGGCATGCAGCCATATGCAAATAAACGTCTCTCCATCAAAGGAATCATTTCAGAAACCAATGATTAGAAAATGCTTTGATCTAGATATCCCTTCACATGAAACCAAACATGAAAATCCATCTTGTTATGTTGGCAAAATTTAGTTTTCAGCCAAAGTAGTTGTTTCAGGTACGATGTTTCTGCTTGCAAGTACAGAATGCATTTCTTAAGGGATTTAATAGTATTATTTCTCCTAACAAGGTGCCTAGGCGATAGTCTGAAAGAGCTAGCAGTTCTGATCATCATGTTCTTTCCAAATAACGATAGCAAACAGAAGAGAGAGTGCTCCTCTCTCCTTTTCTTTTTCTTTGCTTTTTAGTTGGAACAAACATCTTTTTCAAATGTCTTACAAGGATACTAACATCCTCCCATTGGTCAGACGGGTCGCATAGCCTTTTCCACCAAGGAGGAGTGGAAAAGCAAATTTCTGGTGTATTAATTTTCTTTCTTTTCATAAAAGCATTAAGTTTGTTCTCACTAGAAGCAAACTGCTCAAATTCATAATTACAAAGAACTTCACAAAGCCCTTTAACACATCCCCTTTCTTATATTCTCATTAACAAGTCTAGGGATCTAGACAAGCTTCCTGGTGGTGATGCCTGAGGAGAAGGCGAAGAACTGGGAACGGATACTAACCAGGTACCTACTATTGTGGATCAGTCCTATCGACAGATGAGGAGACAGAGACTGTACATCAGAAACTTGTCTAAGATAATGTGGTCTTTAAAGCTGTGATGCTTCCAACACACACCCTGAGGAGGAAGGTGATGATTCCACTGGCTAATACTACATCCCAGGCAGCATGCTACCCATGCTACTTCAACAACAGTTCACATCAATTACTTCATTTCATTCTCAACCACAGGTCGGAAGGAGATAGTCCATTTTATAGATAAGGAAAATGTGGCTTCAGGTCACATAATAAGTGTGGTTCTGTGAGGAGAACTCCAGTTCTCTCTCCAGTCTCAGGTACTTCTTTACACTGCATTGTTTTCCCCATTTTAATTCCTGTGTGCTCTCTAGGACTATGGCCTCTGCGCTTTTTGGCCATTCAGGCCTCCTCATGCGTAAAATGGGAACGATTCTACCTTCTTTAAAGCATTTCTAAAAAAAAAAAAGGCGGGGGCGGGACTGGGGATTTAGCTCAGCGGCACAACGCCTGCCTGGCAAGCATGAGGTCGTGAGTTCGATTCCTGGTACCGGAAAAAAAAATTAAAGCTTTCTAAGAGAAGTAAAGGTGGTAAGCCATGTAAAATTTGCATTATTATTGTAGAATTTACCTCACTGTATTATAATCTTCAATTATGTCATTTACATATAATGCAGGGCAGTTTTCAAGTATTTTGGAAGGACCTTCTGTGTCTTAATTACAAAGAACTTCAAAGAGCTTATAGCTATGTGGATTATAACTATCATTAGTGCACTGAACATATGAGTAATGTTTAAAAACAGTAGCAAGCAAAAGCTCTTAGCTGTCAAAGTGATGACATCATACGCTACAGGTATCCTCCGAAAACCTGCAATCCTGTGAGAGAGTGAGGGTGAAAAAAGCAAACGAGGAGTGTATATTACTATGAAAAATTGCTTGACTCCTCTAGAAATCCCAGGGGTCCCCGGACCTCTCTTTGAGAACACTGCCCTGGGGTGAAGCGTGAGTGCCAGGAGCTGGCCTCTCAGTACTGCCCGAAGAACGAGCCCTCGGAGTCCGCGCTTCCAGACGAAGAAAACCAGGATTGGAGGGGCCCAAACCAGCAGAAGCCCGGAGCTCCCTTACATTTCCCTGCAGCGACTGCGGCTTCCCGGAACCCGAATGCGGCCTTAGCAACCATGTCTTCTCCGCCCCGCAGCTGCCGCCCGCAGCCCACCTCTGTTCCGCGCCCCCTCCCCTACGGTACCCGCCGGCTACTCCAGTCCCCGGTGCCCAGAGGCAAGCCCCGCCCCGCCGCAGACCTCTGGCTTCCATGGCAACCAGACATCACCGCCTCTCGACCCCGCCCCTTCTGGCTAAACCATTCGCTTCCTTTCAGGCGGGGGCAGAAAGAAGAGATTTGAAATAGCGCCTCAGAGCTTTTATACTACATTTTTGCTCACTTAACTTGAAAGATGCATTCACTTGTTTCTTCCATCCACTGGGTCTTGGAGGGCAGCGTGGCGTTTCATCTCTCCCGTTTGAACACCCCCGCTGCAACCCAGTGATCTGGCCCGCCCGGGAGGCTCGCGGCCTGCGCGCACGCCAGCGTAGGGGCGTGGCCTCCTGCTTACGTCAGGCGCAGGGGCGGGACCGCCCGCCGGTGGGGGGCGGGGAGGCGGGCAAGATGGCGCTGGGTGAGTGATTCTCCCCGGATCCCCCAGCAGCTGCGGTGACACCGGGGCGGGGGGTCCGACCCTCATTGCCCGCCTTCCTCCTCTCCCCCGCCCCCGGAGGCCTACCCTTCGCGTCCTCCCTCCACCTCGGGGGCGGGCCAGATTCCCGGGACACCATGTCGGACTCTGAGGAGGAGAGCCAGGACCGGCAACTGAAAATCGTCGTGCTGGGGGACGGCACCTCCGGGAAGGTCAGTCCTCGAACGGGCGCGGCCCCGCCGCCCCCCG